GAAAGTGTCAGCACACAAACTGAGACAGGCTGTTGTTATAGCACAGAAAGTGACAGCACACAAACTGAGACAGCCTGTTGTTATAGCACAGAAAGTGTCAGCACACAAACTGAGACAGCCTGTTGTTATAGCACAGAAAGTGTCAGCACACAAACTGAGACAGCCTGTTGTTATAGCACAGAAAGTGTCAGCACACAAACTGAGACAGCCTGTTGTTATAGCACAGAAAGTGTCAGCACACAAACTGAGACAGCCTGTTGTTATAGCACAGAAAGTGTCAGCACACAAACTGAGACAGCCTGTTGTTATAGCACAGAAAGTGACAGCACACAAACTGAGACAGCCTGTTGGGGGTCATAGATATGCACCAGCATGATCTTCCATGCCAGTTGGCAAGGCACTAGATAATGATGTTCTGCATTTTAGTCTTCATGTTCACATTCACCTAGAGAGGTTCTGGTTCTTCATTCACTTCTGGTCTTTATTCTGGTTCCAGAGCTTGAGTTTTGCATGCACATCCATTTTACAGGTTTGGCATATTTAACTGCAGACTGCTGGTTCCTCACACTGCAGGCAGAAAAAAAGCTCCCCAACTTCACACATCAAATCTGTTCACTTTTTACAACATGCTTGTTTGGGGGGCATTGTGGTCTGTTCTTTTCACACCCCAATAGGGCCCTTGAACCCACATGGGGTTGCATTGTAGTCTAGACGGAGACCGTACCTCCAAGTTACTTATAAAGCAATAAATTATAATTTATATAAAACACCCTTTTTTTCTTCTTTCTGACAGACCCTGGCATTTCGACTATAACAAAAATTGATGTTAATTATATAAAAAACATAATAGATAATTTAATAGAGTTTAAGCTGTCACAAAGCATGTATAAAAGATATTACAATGTATACTGTGAAAAAAATATATCAAACACAGGCGGCAGAGTCCAGTGAACATGATTATATATATAAATATAATTGCAAATAATTTTTTCTGTTAAACTGTTTGGCATCAACATAACAGCAGCGAAAAACGATGCAAGGGAAGCCAAGGATGAATATGTAGATTCTGATGCAGCAGAGAGAAGGTAATGAAATGAAAGCTATTGGCCGCAGCATATAAGAATCAACAACAAAATGAGAGGAATCAACAGTGAGTACAAACTCGATTGATCGATCAGTTCACTCCTTGCTACCTGAAGGTTCACCAACCTGAGATAAAACAGGACTCAGGTATAGATGTCAGGCTGACAGTGTAGATCCCAGACAACCTACTCAATCTCCAAAGAAACTGTAATTAGGGCATCCATAATAGCTAACCATCTTCGCGTAACCTGCAGTTTTATGTGGGTCAGGAAGTCGATCAAATTATGAACTCAGAAGGAAAAACCCCAAGTACTTAGCTCAGTTAATACAGCCTAATGACAGATTATTTGTAAACATGCTGTCTTCACTTGCACACTGCCTAATGACTGGTTACTTGCACAAGTGCCATTGTACACAGTTTATTTGAATACTGTCCAATGGCAGGTTATTTGTACAACTACTGTCTAAATAAGTATTATTTAACTTGCTTGAATCCTGTCCAAAGACAGCTTCTTTGTACAAATGCTGTTTTTGGTAAATCTGTTCAGTGAAGTATTATTGAAGCCTGAAGCAAGACAATAATCACAGTAAACAAGCATAAGTGTATTACTTGCACAGAGGCAACACCAGATTTTTTCAGGATGCTCAGACCAAATGTTACGGACATAGCAACACAATGACAATAAATAGCATGACATGTTTGTAACTGAAAGAATTAACAGACTATCTAGCAGAGGATGATCTCATTCAGAAACACAACAGCTGATAATTTTACAACTTTTAATTTCAAGAGGTCGTAATATTTCATAAATACTATTTAATTTTCCTTTCTAGCAGCCAAGAGGAATCCATATTATACAATGATCTATACAGAAATTTATATTTGGTAACCAGTGTTGCAATAATGTTTTTTCGGTGACCAATGCTGTGGTCAGTTCTCTTTGATTGTTTGTTTGTTTTAGTATCCAGAAGCCATGAGATGTTAACCCTTAGGCTCGGTGTTATGGATATCGCAACCTTTTGGCCTTGATTCCATTGTAAATACCGTAAATCTGGGAGAAAATGTGGCTTTTCTGCCTACCCACGGGAGTGAACCCGGACCACAAGGAGTTCGTCACCCGGTCACAGCCCAATCCGGTTTAGCCAACTACGCTAGCGAGCCGGGCGTTCTCTTTGATAAGCAATGGAAGTTGTGGTTTATTACTGCCTACTCAATCTAGCAATGGTTTACCTAAAGTAATCAATGTAGCAGTGCTTTACCTACAGAAATCAATGTAGCAATGGTTTACTTAAAGTAATCAATGTAGCAGTGGTTTACCTAAAGTAATCAATGTAGCATTGGTTTACCTACAGTAATCAATGTAGCAGTGGTTTACCTAAAGTAATCAATGTAGCATTGGTTTACCTACAGTAATCAATGTAGCAGTGGTTTACCTACAGTAATCAATGTAGCAGTGGTTTACTTAAAGTAATCAATGTAGCAATGGTTTACTTTAAGTAATCAATGTAGCAATGGTTTACCTAAAGTAATCAATGTAGCAGTGGTTTACCTAAAGTAATCAATGTAGCAAATGGTTTACCTACAGTAATCAATGTAGAAATGGTTTACCTACAGTAATCAATGTAGCAATGGTTTACCTACAGTAATCAATGTAGCAATGGTTTACCTACAGTAATCAATGTAGCAATGGTTTACCTACAGTAATCAATGTAGCAGTGGTTTGCTTCTGGCTGACTAAAGCAGTAGTTATTTTTCTGTAGCTGCCTTTCATAGCAGCGATTTATTGACAAAGAAGTGATTTTGTTGAATGCAGGCTGACATAGCGGTCTCTTAACACTATACTGCTGATAAAGTTGTGGCACTCTTTCTATAAAACAGTGGCTCAGTTTCATATTACTGATGTAGAAATGATTTTCTTCCTATGATACAGTGATTTATCTTCATCTAACTGATGTAGCAAATTTCTTCCAGTGTTTCATTGGTTTATCACCAACAACTAACGTAGCATTTATTCAATCCCCAAAACCAGTCTTCAACATTTGAAAATGTTCATCTCATTAACGGAGACTGCTTGCCTTTAGTGAGAGAAAAACTAAAACAACTAAAGGAGAAACAATCACCCTTATCCGACATCCATTAGATATCACCATGAACAGGTAAAGGAGAAACAATCACCCTTATCCGACATCCATTAGATATCACCATGAACAGGTAAAGGAGAAACAATCACCCTTATCCGACATCCATTAGATATCACCATGAACAGGTAAAGGAGAAACAATCACCCTTATCCGACATCCATTAGATATCACCATGAACAGGTAAAGGAGAAACAATCACCCTTATCCGACATCCATTAGATATCACCATGAACAGGTAAAGGAGAAACAATCACACTTATGCTTCATCCATGAGATGCCACCAAAATATGATCTTAAAGACATTCTCTTTTAACTGACAATTCTGATCATTAACCAAAAATATCCATAAAAGGGTATTATATTCATTACTTTATTCAAAGGTTCAAATGGAGTAATGATGCACCATACAATACTCTTTAATGTGTGTTTTAGCCTTACTTATTACATGAGATCGTTGCCTTGTGGGATGACATTTTTTGTTATTTGAAGCCCCACCCTAGGTTCTGCTGGGGCCCTGAATATAGCCAGATATGGCCTAGCCATAGATATGGCCCAACAGCTAAAAGGGGTTTCTGGGACCTCTCCACATATGATCCTCATCTGCATGGTAACACTGTGTCACTGGGTGTTTATCACCTGAGTGATATCCTGGTGTGGTAGAACTACCTGCCTACCTACCTTGCTCAAGGCTATACCTAACAGCTACATGACAGACCTTATTCTCCTCAGTAATCCAGTGGAAGGTTTAAGTTTCAATAGGAAAATGGATAGAACAACAGAGATAAAGGTGAACTCTGATCTGTTGGGAAGCCACTGAGTTGTGCATGGTGCGACACTGTGAATTTCATGGGAAATGCTTATTGTCTGTGCTCCCGGAGATGTGTGTTGTAAACTGCATAATCAGGAAATAGCAAGTGGCTGGTTGCCTAGGAACTGGCAATGTGCCTTTGCAAAAGGTAAAGTGCATGTGCTGGTTTGTCATGACTGCTGTTTCAATGAACTATGAACAGTAATTCTAGTGACAGACTGTCGGTGCTGGCACTTCTGGCAGCTGCCTTAAGCATTTGATTCCAATGTGAGCTGTAGGATTTTTCCAGAACTGATGTCTGTCTGACTTTTCACTTGAGCCAGCAATTGGCATTTTGTGTGGTTTCCACTGACACAGAAACGGAGAAACTATGGGATAACCTGTTTGCAATGATGTTGGAAACCTGAATGATTATATTTAATCCCCTGCAGTTTTTAAGTGTTTAACAATAACAAATCTTTTAATATTAATAATTAAAATTAATCCGTAAAAGTAAAGATCCCTGGTCATGCCCATGATGCCCCAGGCATATGATGCAAAATTTCTTTTTTTTTTACAGCCCCCTGGTGTCGGATGTGGTCAACATCACTTTGGAATAATTTCAAATAATGATTCCTAAAATGTTTCGTGTAATATTTGTTGAAAGATTAATATAAATTATCAGTTTATTAAATTATTAAAGAGCTAATATATGTAAATGTAATACTTTAAAAATATAAGAACCGTTAATATGACTGATATTTTTAATTTATTTCACATTTTCAGAAGTGTTTTTGTTTAATACTCCAAGAACATTGATTACTAAAAGTAAACAAACAATAATTACAAATTTTGTTTCCAACAAAACTTTCAATCGCTGAGAACTACTCTTAAACTAACAAAAGTGAATCTTCCAGAACATTTCATAGTGCTATGACATCACATATTAGACAAGCCTGCAACATCAGCACTCACAATTCCGCAGTTCTCAAATCTGAAAACTGTCCTGAACAGCCTGCCATATTGTTTCCTCCATTGCTTTGTCTAGAGTGCCCTCCCCTACCCGTCCAGGTTCTGCTATCCCAAACTCTTCCAAAACTTCCTGAACAACCACCTGCTTGGCAGCCATCACGACCTCTGCCTTCCGCCACAATGATTCTAACTCATCAGGGGTCATTCCTCTATCAGAAACTCGCTGGGCTCTGGTGTTTACAAGTGAATCGAACATATTCAAATTTCTATTACTTATGGACTCGGTACTGTTGTTATTATTGTTACTGTTGTCTAAGCCTGTTACTAAGTGACGATAATTACGATTACCAGTTCTTCCAGCATCTGATTTGTTGCGTCTGTTGGCATGCAACAACATAACCTCTGACCTCCCAAGACTAAAACTGTTGCCTCGACCTAGAAGAATAACACCAGGTTTTTCTTTCTGAGAACTGTTTGTAAATGTCAGTAAATTGGAGAGCCTTTCACCATCTACCTCCTCACTATTCTCCTCATCTTTAATGTTCTCATCAATAACACTAATATTCTTTTCAATAATACTATCTTTCTCATCAAAACCGTCAACTCCTGTAGAATGATACACCAAGGTCTGTGCCTCTAAATTCACAATATGTTCAGCGTTAAATGCCATGTTCTGGTTGATATTTTTATCCAGCAAAGACTGCTTGAAATCGTCTACCGTATTCTTGGTTTCTGCACTTCCCTCCTGTGGGGACACCTCAAAAAATGAATAGCTCGCATCGCCCAAAGGAACTGTAGAATCAACCGATACAACTTCCTCAGATGAGCCTGAAGCTGCATAAGCAACTCTAGTTATGTCATCGTGATTAGCAGACATCCTATCCATATCATTATCCACAATTAAATCCATCCCTGTAGAAGCAGACTCCTGTGATCAAGCAACAACATAAAGCCAGACTTTCATTCACAAGAAACTTTATTTCTGTGGCTTTCAGATACAAAAATATTAACAAGAAACCTGAAGGAAATCCATCAGCAAATCACAAGAGAGCAACAAGAGCAAATACAATGTTCAACATTATACCTCATGCTTGCAAATAAAGTGTAAAGAAGGTACTTCAAGGTACGGCCTGAAAGATTGATTTGTCAATGTCCAATGATGTCTTCTTCAATATAACAATGTCACTTCAACCTCAACCTGCGAGCATTCAAGGGGAGACAATAGGCATAAGGGAGAGCATGAAGCACAGGAGGATGATGATGAGCAGCTCTAGCACGCTGACAAGGTAAAGCTTGGGAGTGCCGAAGCAATGCTACAATTGACCAGAAGCAGCTGGGTGGTCCACACAGCCCGGGCTCTCAGGCATCATGGGAGACTACTGCACTTGAGAAAACTGGGTCATAGCCATCAGGACAAGGTCATGAGAGGTATTCTGGGGAGAAAAATGTGACATATTTATGTCATGACAGTCATAAACAGTGCTTTGTTTATCATGCATCAAATCTGGTGTTGTTCTTTTTAAAAATGTCACATTCTGCTCTGCATGTTTAGCAGATATTTTACATTCTGACATGTAAATTTTGTAAATATTTCACATTATAGTTCTCTAAATATTTCAAATTGTCATATCCTGCTTGGGTGTTTTCTAATATTTCACATTTCAGCATGGGTGTTTTTAAAATTCAAGTCCTGACAATGTTTTCTAAATCATTCATTTATGGCAGACTTCAGGCTTTTTCGATTCTGACCATACAAGGGGAGACTACTGGGAAGCTACTGTTGCTAATTGTAGCCCCTTAAAACGTTTTCATCCACAACAAGGAAATTAAACACAGGCAGAAAACCAGAAAATGTGCAGATGGTTAAACAATGTTTCGACAGACAATTGGTGATTAGAAGAAGACAGTGATTAGAAGACAGACAATGAGTAGACAGCCTGACAATAGCAAACAGATTAAGAACTGACTAGAAATGACAGAAAGTCAGATAATGGACAGATAGTCAGATAACTGACATACAGGCAACTGATATATGGTAAGACAATGGACACACAGATAATGGACAGACACTGAGACTGGGTAGATAGTGAGATAAGGGACACATAGTGTCATGTTCCAAAACTGTCCATAGCTGAAACAAACAGAATCTGATCACCACAGGGCTGACTGGTCAAGGAGCAATCGTGTAATTAATACTTAACTGATACCAAGTATAGGGAACCTGACCCTTTAGAAACCCACACCTAGGGGCGACACCTTCATCACATCAGAGGACTTCATGTGAGGAGATCAGATAAGTTTTTCCAGCCTGATACAGTCACCAGAAACTGTGAGCCCATCCACTGCTCTGGCCCATTCATGAATGTGAAACTGAGAGGCCAAGAGTATTGGGGCTGTAATTATTCTATGCCCAATATCACACCTCTGATCAGACTACTGACTGCTTATAATTCTCTCTTTCTTACATCAACCCACCCACACCTATATATATATATATATATATATATATATATATATATATATATATATATATATATATATATATATATATATATATATATATATATATAAAATTCACCACAAGTTTATAGGCATCTGTGATGACATAAATGCACAAGCTATGACTGTGCGTATCTCTTGAGTCAATGAGCTCTGTGTGGTTGAAACAAAACAAAACTAAACACCCTTAACTCCTACACAGATAACCTGCCAGAAGTACCATAACTCCAACACAGATAACCTGTCAGAAGTACCATAACTCCTACACAGATAACCTGCCAGAAGTACCATAACTCCTACACAGGTAACCTGCCAGAAGTACCCAGAACTCCTACCTGGTAAGCTGCCTGAAGTACCCATACCTCCTACACAGGTAACCTGCCAGAAGTACCATAACTCCTACACAGGTAACCTGCCATAAGTATCCATAACTCCTACACAGGTAACCTGCCTGAAGTATCCATACCTCCTACACAGGTAACCTGCCAGAAGTACCATAACTCCTACACAGGTAACCTGCCATAAGTATCCATAACTCCTACACAGGTAACTTGCCTGAAGTACCCATACCTCCTACACAGGTAACCTGCCAGAAGTACCATAACTCCTACACAGGTAACCTGCCAGAAGTACCCATAACTCCTACACAGGTAACCTGCCTGAAAGACCATAACTCCTACACAGGTAACCTGCCAGAAGTAATATAACTCCTACACAGGTAACTTGCCATAAGCACCATAACTCCTACACAGATAATGCCAGAAGTATGACCCCACAGGGTCTGTACTCCTACCACAGCCAGTTCTTGACAGATAGTTCGGCAAATAGTTAAAAATCAGACACCGGTAAGCAAGCCAGGCAAGTGATTGGTGAGCATTATTATGAAAGCATTTCAGACCGACCCGCAGGTGTTCAGATCTCCTCCACAAAAGTTCTACAGGCGTAAAATAACTGATGATGCCTGTGCTGTGTTGACTGATCAAACATCTTGTCCCCTTGGTAGAATGTTAATTTCTTGCAGCTCCAGACTGCACTCCCATGTCCATTAGTCTAGAGGGGGATATGGAGCGACACCCTTTGCCATCTTCTTGGCAAGTGCTGCACATGGCATTGATAACATCACTTTTATCCAGTACCAGACCAGCTATAGCAACTGCAGAGTCTACAAGATAATCTGCATGCTCAGAAATCCACAACATCTGGCACAAATAGAGAGGTCAGGCTAGCCATTTATAAAGAGCTTAGTGATACAATCCATTTTTGCACAGCATGGATTTTCTCTTAAGCACATTCATTGAGTCCCAGGTAACTGACAGACAGGCAAACTTGATTTACTCAACCAAAGATTAAAAGATTACTGATGAATTATTTAAGAATCGACATCATAGCACACAGATGCTCCATTTTTTACAGTCAATGTTTTAAGGTACAGATGTTAACTGTTCCCGCAGCATAATCATTAGACACACGTCATTCTCTGCCTCTCATATGTCCTTGCTTGGCCGATTCACACCTAATTCATTGTTCACAAATTGTTGTGATTTTATCTAACCTCATGTCGTCTATCAGCATTCATTCATAAATGATCTTCAAATGTCTCCTTTGTTCAGTAAAGAATGTCTCTTTTGTTCAGTACCAATTTTTCTTCTGTCCAGTGCAAACATTTCCTTCGTCTGGTATAAGTGGTTCCCTAGCTATCGCTTGTTTAGCTAGAAAATCTGCTCTATCATTCCCTCACACTCCTGCATACCTCAGACAAACGGGCAGACGACGATACCTACCAGAGACATCAGATCTTCTGTTGCTCTCCTCAAAAGCTATGAGAGGCCTCCCAGTGACTAGAGAGTTGATCTTGCCGCCAGTATCTATCAAACTGATCAGCTCATCAAGGTCCTCGTCCGTCTGTGTGGCTGGCGTACCGTCACGTCTCTCGGACTCTGGCAAGGTCCCTAGCACAGAAGTTTGACTAGTCACACTCTCCTCTATAGAAAACAGGCTAATGCTGGGGACAGAACAAACAGGCAACTTAAAAAACTGATTACAAAATGGACAAACCATATTTAAAAACATGAATATTTGTAAATTTAAATAATGGGAGCATAAACAATAGTGAACAATTTATTGCCTGGCTTATTTAGCAGCGTCTGTCAGGGGCATTACTCTGGAGTTATCTCCATGTGGGTCTCGGGGTCCATTGTGGGGAAAACAAGGACAGATCCACTGCTTGCCTAACAAGCATGTCATAAGAGTAAACTAATTGGGAGCATCCTTCGAAGTCAGAGTACATCTGCCTAAGAAGGCAAGGAACCAACAGTGTACATGCAATATGTAAGATCTGTAAAATGGATGTGCACATAACACTCAGCTTCTGAAAGAAGACTAAAGTCCAGAGGTGGATGAACAACCAGAACTTTGCACCGGAGTTTACAGCCGGTGAATGCGATGAAGAAAAACACTATGGAGTTACAAACTAGAGGCACTGCGATCTAAGTATTTCAATAGAACAGGATTCACTTTTGTGCTAAATTATATGTTGATGTCACTTTGTTGTTAACTCACCTGACCAGATATAGCAAAACATGCTTGGCAATAAATGGTGGAATGTACTGTTGTGTCAGCATTATTTACATTTACAGTGGGAAAACACTGTTTAAGTTCAGAAATACAGGTGTGAAGTCATGAACATTTCCTATCTTGATTACATAAAAACAGATGAATGATGATGCATTACAGAAATTAAAAAGAAAATCTATATGTAGGATTGTAGGCATTTGATTGCAGTCTGATGACAATAAAATAACTAAACTTCCTCAACGAAACAATACCAAAAAAATGCGTCTGCCTTTAAAAGGGCAGCTGCATGTTGTGGTTTACAGATCGGATGCGATATTGTAGGCCGAATACATCCGAGTTCATTAAACCCCTAATTAGTTACCTCTTAGGGCATGCTTGCAAGAGGAGTAGTGGGTTTATTGTCCTTTCACCAAAAAAGAATGGGGTCATGGCTGCCACACAGGGATTAAGAAACAGTTACAACACTTTCACTACCCTCTAAACGGACTTAACCACACAGCCGAACATAAAAACCTTTGTATACAACTTAAAAATGTATCCATTAAACCACAAAATATAATACCTCTATTAGTAAAGATAACCTTCGCAGTATCACTTTATAAAAATAAAACCATTCTATATGAAAAGTATTAGGAACATAAAACAAGACAACGAAAGTAAACAACGTTTCTTCTTGAACATGCAATCTCCACATACCAGACAACGAAATCTGGCGCCCATCAATCAAGCAGGCGCGTGACAACATGTCACCAGAGACTCTACTCTTGGCGTCCCGAGACGGGAGCTCGGACAATTACGTCAAAACTTGGCCCGACCACGTTAATAACGTTCTAGCAGCGTGCCTCTTATTTTGTGTGGCCTGAGTCTGGTTAACTCTTCCCAGGTCTCAATCAGCAATGTTACTAGACCCGTTCCTTTGAAAATGCTGATTTTAGCCCCCAAAATTAATCTTCTTTCAGTCTTTAAATAGTACGTACGCCCGGCTCTCTAGCGAAGTTGGTTAAACCTGACTTTCGCGGCGGCCGGGTGACGAACTCCTTGTGGTCCGGGTTCACTCCCGGGGGTAGGCAGAAAAGCCACATTTCTCCCAGATTAACGGTACCTATAATGGAATCAAGGCCGAAGGGTTGCGATATCCATAGTACCGAGCCAAAGGGTTTACAACTCATGGTTTCTGGATACGTAAAAAAAAAAAAAAAAATAGTACGTACCTACAGAAAACATTTTTTGGCTATCCTCCGAATAACGGGCACAAAAGATGGCGGCCGCAAAAACACCCTAACAGAGCCTCAGTCAGGTGTCAATTGCGCACCTCCAGCGACTTAATTTGCGGTTTTCCGGCAACTACCGCCACCACCGAGAGAATCCCCCATGCCGCGTGGATTGGGATGGCTGGGACACACGAGCAGCAGCTTTCGCATCTCCTGCAGCTTTGCTCGTGAGTCCTAGCCATCTAGTTTAGCCCCAATCCATGCAGCATGGATTTGAATAACGGATCAACATCATGGCACACGGGTCTAACCCATAAGTGCTCCGTTCTTTTTCTAACTCAAGTCTGAGTCCGAAGAAGCTCAACACAGTGCACAGGCTCTGTAGCACCGGCGAGGATCCTGAAACACTGAAACAGATTTTTTTGAAACTCAAAATTTTTCCCGGGCAGCGCCGTTAGGCTACTCTTTTCGATTTCCAAAAGCCTAAGGATTTTTTTTATACGTGCGCAACAATGCACACGGGCGTCCGATCTCACTACCCAAAGACCGGGATGGGGGATGGGGGGGGGGGGGCCCGGGGAATTACTAGAAGTCCAAGTCAACAAAACCCAGCCCTTACCAGGGATTAAACACAGAACCTCTAGCACTCGAGGCGGACACCAACCATGCCTCGAGAAGACACAGCACCCACCCACCCACCCACCCAGAAAGAAGAGGAAGAAGAAGACACCTAAATGTCTCCCACTCCCAGCAAAACAGTATATTATTAAAAGCCTCTTCATCTGTACTTTATGCTATCAGTGCCAAACACGAGCAAATAAATAGGGCACTAGAACAGAAGAAATGTGAGATGTGCCGTCTCCACAAACCCAATAACAATACAAGAAGGGACAGGGTTAAGAAAGAGAGAAAGTTGGAACATGACCGTGTCTGGATTATACTGACACAGAATGAAATGGTTCGGCCACCTAGTGAGAACGCAGCCAGACCAAGCAACACATAATACCTTTTTTTTTTAAAACAGCAGAAAATCTGTGAGGACGACCGAGAAAGATGTGGATAAATGGTGTAACTGAACCATCAAAGAAGCCAGTCAAGAAGCACAAGACAAACACAGAAAGCCACGCCACTGGGAGACAACCTGACAACATAGACATGACTACGACCACCTCCCAGTCTGTCAACTCAGTGGCTGAATTAACCGATTAAATTTCAACTAGGAGTCGCCGTGGCCGAGCGGCTAGACGCTCGCCGCGGATTGGAAGGTCGTGGGTTCGCTCCCTGGAGCGAAAATGACCTTGGCTCCCAGGTCGACCCAGCATTCAGTGCGTACCGGGTGCAGTCCCGGGAAGTAAATGCGGCCGGCGTGATGCTGACCACATCACCCTTCTTCTGCCGATTGGTCTATAAAAATATAGGTCTAGCCCTATATGCCTAAAGGCGTGGAAACGGGTCATTTACTTTTTACTTTTCTTTTAAATTTCAACTTTTTTGACATGGGCCGGTGCTATACATCCATTGCTGGATCACAGATTATTACTCCCCACGACGCTTAACGCAGATAAAGAAGATAACTTATTCTGGCTACTTGTGTAGATAATACTAGAACATCAGTCGAACGCGGCTGATGAAACCGAAGAGAAAAAGGAGTGGGTTGGGTGGGGGGGGGGGGGGGGGCGCTAACTAGCACCTGAGCGCAAAATGATGTTAAAAAGGTTTAAAATGAGACCAATAAACTATTCAAATGATATCTGGTGATATCAGCTACTGTATAAGGCATCCCCTTTAATAACGGTCTTTGACTTAGAACCTAATTCCGTTCCGACTAACTAGTCGTAAGTCGAATCTATACTGTCAACACTAATTTCGTCCCAACGGATAACAACTGGATGTTGTCCCAATCACAGTACTGCCACAAAAACGAACATCTACGTGGGCTGCTGTGCCGCTTCTCTATATCATGTCCCACCCAGCAGCATGAAATAGGCATAACGTTGTCTCAACAACAGCGTTTCCAAACGTCTCGTTATCACAAACCAGGTTTTCTGCTTTCTGTTGCTGTTCTGTGTACGTTACACACTATATCTTGCATTCATCAACAGCAAATTTTTTTTTCTTTTCTTCTACTCCGTTTCATGGGAACCAAAGCCATTACTATCTGTATTTACCTATTCTGGGATGGAGACAGACAGACAGACAGACAGACAGACAGACAGACAGACAGACAGACAGACAGACAGACAGACAGACAGACAGACAGACAGACAGACAGACAGACAGACAGACAGACAGACAGATAGATAGTTAGATAGATAGATAGATAGATAGATAGATAGATAGATAGATAGATAGATAGATAGATAGATAGATAGATACATAGAGAGATAGATAGATAGATACATACATAGAGAGATAGAGAGAGGGGGGTCTATGCGTCTGAGGATTTAGGGCCGCTTGACTAGTGCTGTCGTCACGAACTGCGCAGGTTAGGATTATATTTTTTGCCCCGAAAGAAACAAATTTCCAGCCTTGCCGGGGATACGAATCTGGGTCTCCTGCTAAAGAGCCCGGCGTTCTAACAGCCGTTCTTCCTGTAGACGAACGCCTGTTATTTAATAATCAACTTTTCCGAAACATCACAATCGTTCACATGCCGAAACTACCTCATTCCCCTCACGTATATGTCTTACTGGCCTATCTTCAAGGTAACAAGACCCGGACTACAACAAAAATGCTTTCACACCTCTAAAATAAATGGGTGCAGAAAGTCAACAGTGTGGGCAAAGGTGTGCGCGCAAAATAAATCCTATGGCACAAATTAAATAGGGGAAAGGGGGGAGGGGGTCTGGCCACACACGGTAATTTGTTTTATAAGAAATGTTCGGGAGGGTGTCAGAAAATAGTGACAAGTCCGGAATCGGGACTTTCCAAATGTTCGCATCTGCTGCTCTAAATCACTGATAGAATGTCAAGTCTTTGGTTAGTTAGTTAGTTGGGTTATCCTCATTGCACTCCGGACATGTCCATAGGTGCTCAGATCCTCCCCTCAGTATGAACCCCAATGTCAAGTCTACTCAGGGGCAAATAATGGGTGATATTTCACAGTAACGAAATCAACGAACTACAGGACACCCAGGGCAACTTAGAGGCAGTAACGAACAAAATAAGAAACCGACATATTAACTCTGAAAGGATGTCAGGGTCGGGCGCAAAAATT